GGTCTGCCGGCTCATTCCTCTGGACAAACCATCAGTTTTCCTCTGGATCATTCCAGCAGCTGCTGCACGTTTTGGAGCCTCATCGGCTCAGAGGAAAACTTTGGGATTATTTCAGTGTTTAGAATAAGAAGACTTTTCTTTTCAGAGAGGGAAAAGAGATAATCATCATCACCTGAGGGGGCGAGAAGAAACACCAGAAGAAGTGCCAATTTGCATGTTTGTGCAAAGGTTTAATCATCTGGAAGAAAAGCTCTCGTGAGTTCAGCCTGGCTGCTGAGCTTCCTGAGCGTCGACACAACAGTTTAACGGTGAGCGGCAAGATTTCATATCGTCTCTGTTTGTTTCTCTTTCGGTGTAAATCAAGGTCACTGCATCAGTTCAGACTTCAGACACGCCCAGTAAAAGTGCTGTTTGTGCTCCGTCACAGACCTGGAGCTGCTTCAGTGTTTCAGTGAGAACAACAGGAAAGCAAACACGCTGTTATCATCGTGAGAAGTGCAGCGACGCTCGAACAGCTGCTGCTCAAACGCTCCACACGTTTGTGAGAGCAGCTCCAGCGGGCGCTCTCTGTGAGGGACGGTGGTCTGCAGGGCAGCAGAGCTTCAGCACCTGTTGCATCGACAGACCTGCTGCGAGCTCCAGCTGAAGCAGAATGATTTCTTAACGAGTCTGTTGTTTGTATCATCATGGTGAAGGAAAAGGAAGATTTCAGCTTCAATGTGCTCAGTTACAAATTTGATCCACACTGTGATCTATCAGCTGCCTGCAGAGTTGGCTGTGCTCTGCTCCTCGCGTTAAAATGAACTTTATGCTGGGTGAACAGTTCTAGTGATGCAACTTCTTCCTGCTTTCTTGGATTTCCTTCGAATATCAATCAGGTTCTGGTGTCACGTTCACCATCAGTTTAAGCTTTTCAGACTCTGTGTGTCAAATACATCCAAGAAAAAACGATTAACAATAATCAGGCCTCTCATCTTAATGGCCTCACGCTACCGTATCACCCTATCAGAGCGCCGCAGGCTCGCTGGTTGTTCCTGAATCCTGCTCAGTCACGCTGCTTTCTGCTCGCTATGTGACGAAGTGTCAGCGTGTCTCTGCGTCCTTTCAAAGCTTCAAATCTTCTTTTATCTAATATAAAGAAGCCACAGGAATCCTTTGTGGCTGTTGTCTGTTGTCGGCCTCTCAACTGGAAACAAGCTGCTGGTTAGTTTTCTGTCTTCATCTGTTTCCACGGTGATGGACAAACAGTGCATTGTTTGGCTAATGACGTCGGCCTGCTGTGGGACTTCCCATGATGCACTAAGCACTCTTTCTATTTCCTCTCACCCTTTAACCAGTTATTGCAGATGTTGCTCGGCCAGATGTCTCTTCCTGTTAAAATGGAGTTCTTCCTCCCCACAGTCGCCGCCGTTGGGAATTCTGTGGTCGTGTCCAAATTCATGGGCTGC